CTATTTGCAGGTGAGCTTGAGGAACAACTCACTGAAGAAGTTTCCGAAGAAGATTATTGGCAAATTTCCAAAAATTACCAGTTCGTTCAGCATATTTTATGATACCTAAGAAAATTCATGAGAATATGATTGACTGGGTTGTGATTATGCACAATTTCAGTATTCAATATTGAAGGGAATGAAATTGAGGAATTCCCACAGGAATTTGAAGAACTCACTCTTATGAAGGGCTTGAATGCCGCCAACAATAGGTTGAGCTCAGTTCCTGAAGGAGTATTCAATATGAAGCATCTTGCCATTCTCGATCTTTCTGGAAACCTAATTGAGGGTACGTTCGTTGGTCCTCCCTTAATATAATCGAATTTATAGAACTTTTATACTGTCTTACTTGAGTATTACGCTAATTTAGATGTTGATGCAGACCGCCTCTACAGTTCCTGTCCTTCCTTAGTTCAGTTGAATATGGCTGGAAATCCCTTAACGGAAGACGCGAAGAAGCGTCTGTCCACTTCGCCATCGAAACCCGCGAAGACTATTCTGAAGCTCGATTAAAAAACGGATATCAACGCTTACCTTATCAGAAAATACCGGTAAATATGCCAAGTTATAATTCTCGAATTTAAATCGCTCGAGTAGCTGCTCATTCATTAAGTACTACTTTTTTAACCAGATGCCCTAATTGTAAGGAAACGCTTTTACAATGGCATATTACTATGTGTAACTTGCGCAAATTGTCATAATTGATTATGGAACTTGTATTTGATGCAAATAGAATCATAAATTAGAGATTGTGCACTCAATGTAAATACAGTTTGCAGTCACATTTTTGGAAATTTACCTCGATTTAATGAAGAATAAATAAATCCAGATCAACAGTGAACAGAACAATTAGATGTTGTGGATGTTGCTGTACTGAATGTGAAGCAAAGGAATTATGCGTGGTAATTCCTATGTGTTATCAGACCTGCTCTCGAATGAATACAGCAATAGGCGATGGGTACGTATAGAGATTGTTGTGAGAAGCCGACTGAACGATCAATTAGAAGGCGACCGACCCACCTACTCACCAAAGTTTTGCATAGTTCCATGGCGATCCTCAATAATCATAGTTAAATAAAATATGCTAGGATTTTGGAGGTCTCACTGAAGCCACGACCAAGATGATACAAAGTTTTATTCGGCTAACGTTTCGGCCAATCGCCTTCGTCAGAGCCTGGAAGCCAAAAAATATTTGAGATTCATCCTG